GGCTGCATGACAAAAAAAAAAAGAAAAAAAGAAAAACAAAGTGACAAAAAAACACACCCTGTGTCTTGTCACATCAGCACCTGGGGTGGCTCCAGCCAGAGAGATCACAAAATCAGAGAATCATGATGGTTGGAAAAAGCCACTAAGATCATCTAGTCTAACCATCAGCCCATCACCACCGTGCCTACGAAGCCATGTCTTATGGACTGTGGACCTGCTCTGTATGTGTGTACGATCTCAATGCCACGCCTTGACTTGTCAAACATGACTCTGGATGGAGGTGGGGGAGCATCTAAGTCATGTTGTACTCTACTAGCACCAATGCAGCTCTTACAGCTCTTACCCACAGGGAGCACAGGCACACAGGTAGAAAAGGGTGGAGAGCAGAAAGTGTGCAGAAATGCCAGGGGGTTGTGGGGTGGAAGAGCGGGTTGCTCAGCATTGCTCTGTGTGGGCTGCTTGCTGCTCAGAGCAGTCTGGCTTCAGTGCTGCTGGGAAGACTGTTCTGAAGGGACAGTGGGTGGCATATTTTCTTGGTGGCATTCACTGATATTAAATGTGGGTGGAAGAGAGGCACTGTCAATCCACGTGGAAAGGATTTTTGGGAGAAGCCACAATTGTTTAAGCTTCTGTAAATCTTGTTTACCTGTCACAGACAGCTTGCCTCAAGGCCTGATGTTCTCAGTCTTTGGCTGGTGGCTACATTCAAAGCATGCCAGAGTGGTCCAGAAGACATTTTGCCAAATATCTTAGTTTAGTTTTAGAAGACCGAAGTACTTTAGGACAGTGAGAATTCTGTCCTTTGGTAGCTGACTGATACGATGTTTCCATGACTGTCTGTGAAAAAAGTAAAAATGTGTTAACATAGTCAAAAGTGTGTGGGGGAACTCCTCTATGCTATGGAGCATAGTGCATCTTTTCTCCCTATTGCATCAGAGAAAACCTTTGATTCCACATTTCTTGCTGCTTATTTTCCCTTCCCCTCTATTGCCATATCTGTATCTATTTGGACTGTAAGTTTTCAGTTCCAAAAGGACACAATATGATGATGATGAAGGGAGGCCTCAGTAAGTGCCCCATCCTTAAACCAAGAGTACAGGGAGGAGTGTGCAACATTCCAGGAAGCTGAATCTGCAGGGACAGTCACCCACTGCCCTACCCTCCTTGTCCTGCCCATTGCAGATGCTTAGCTGTACACTGACTTAAAAAGCTCTTGATGGCCTCATTACATTTAGGAATCTTAACAACATCAGCAGCAACATTGATATTATGTAGGCAAAGATCTTCAACGAGTTTGTAGTTCTGTAGGTACCACTTTAAAATTGCTTAGCTAAGGGTTAAAAGCTGTTAAACTGTGCTGGCTGGTTTGTTCACAAGAGTTATTACATTTGTAACTTGCATAAGGGTGAAGTCACTGAGGGCAAGTTAGACATGGGTGTAACATTGTAATAAGAGTGTAATCATCATTGCAGGAAGTATTTGTACCTCATACCCGGGGAACATGTACATGGGAAAGCATCACATTAGGACCTTTACCTAAATCTCTCTGGAAATTGTTGTTGGAGGAAAGACAGGGGCCAAACTGCTCAGGCGCACCCACTGCTGTTCCTCTGGTTGCCTGCAAAGAACTGATCAGAGCATTATCCATGTTTGTGTGTTAGCTCTCGTGCTAACGCTTCCTAACAAAATTGCTTGAGAAGAACAACTGCCGTGTTACCTTGCCTTGTTGCACGTATATCTAAATATAACCCAGAGCTCATTTTCTGAGGAGCAAGTACTGGCAGGTCCTGAGACACAGATGGGAATGTCTGATAGCTCTCAGGTGCTGCGCCATCCCATGGCTGCGGTTCACTCCTCCTTCCTGATGCCAGGAGGCTTGAACGTGAAAATGCAAAAGTTGGACAGAGATGGGCACCTGGAGGGAAGAGACTTGCAGTGTTCAGATAGCAATCTTGTGCAGGTTTGCGATGTACTGAGATCTGCTGCACTGCCCAGAAGGTGGGAAAAACTGAAGTCATTCAGATGTAGCAGATATTACTCTCTCCAAGAGTATCTCTGGAGATTCTGATGTCATTCTCCTCCTCTTTTAATGAGTGAGGAAGTCCACCTCCCTCCGGTCTCCTCATTGGGAAAACCAAAATGCATGCCAGAGTCAATAGGGTGCTTTCTTGTTGAAGTCTTTCTGTGATGAATGATGACTAAAACACCTAAGATGCCAAAAATAAGATTATTTACTTTTCAGACTTGCTCACCTAGAGGTGAAACTGTCATTCTTGCCTTCTTTATAATCTTCCACCACCTTTCTGCCTTGCCTGACTGTGTATCTCTGTTCCTTCTTCCCTATCTGTTCTGACTGTGGACAAAACTCTTTTTCAAACTGTCAAATGTACCTTAACTTTCCAAAATGTTGGTCCTGCAAGTTTTTCTTTCATGTGGAGAAGACAATTCTGCACTCTAAAGTTGTTTTCTACCTTCACTGAAGAGCTATTAGAAAAGAAAGGGCAGAGCTTATCCCTGTATCTTGAAATTTCTGAAGTCAATTCAGTTTCAGAGTGATAAATCGTAACTGTTGCAGATCAGAAGCTGCTGTACATATTATTGGCTGCTTCTGTTGAGAACGTAAAAGGGTAACAAATGCTGGGAGAAAAGCCAAGGGATCCCCCAACTGGGATGGTGACCATTGTAAACATCTCCATTTCAGCTACCAGTAAACATGAATCAAGCCTCTGTGGAGCCACAGCTGAAGGATGGAGTATTTAAATCTTCTCAAATAAAGGTGGCTGAAGTGAACGTATAGGAATTCAAAATAATAAGAGTGAGCAGGAACAGCTTTCCTGTCACAGGCATGTCTCTTGTGATCTACACTTCTCCTCCGCCTTGATGTGCTGCGAATTATCCTGGTAGGTGCTAAGTGTTATCTCCTCAAGGTCCTGCCCTATGCAATCAAGTCGCTGCAACATCTTAATCACTGATTTATGGACATAAATTTAGAAAAACATTTATTTTTTGACTTCACTTTTGACAGCTCATGAAGATATATCTTCAGTATCCGCATTCACACTGATATATTTCATTCTTGTGTCCATATCTAAGTTGCATAATTTTACAAACAAGATTCTGAAAGCTCCAGTTGGATTTACCCTTCTCTCCATCATCTTCCTGCTGTAGCACCACAGAGCTCAGATGCATTTTTCTTGTGACCTAATATTAGGTTTATATTTTCCTCTTCTAGAATGCAAATTGTTGAGGTTTTTTTCTTTTTTAATCTGCATATCATTTAGTTGTGACTTTTGTAATCAATGAAACCCAATTTTGAGGAAAACAAACATGTATTCATGTTACATACGTGTTTAGTGTTGACATCATAGAGGCTGTAAATAAAAAAAATGAGAAGGAAAGAGGATTGCATTAAATTAAAACTGTATGTTCATATAATCTGAAATCATGGTTTTAATATCTGCATGAATTCAGTACTTACATTACATGTTGGATCTGGTTATGTCAAAGAAAATGGGAGGGCAAGGTTGATTTGTAATATTTGTGTTATTCTTAAGTAACCATTGAAGTCAACAGATAATATACTTTATAATCAGGTACAGATGCTAAAAAATTATTCTAGATCTCCATTCTTGTCAACAGATTTCATTACCTTCAACCAGACATCAGTATTGATTGAATTCTTCCTGGTTCTTCGGGATGAACTATGGCCTACCACTCCCCTAACTGAAACCCAGGTTATCACAAAGAGCTCTGGTTCTTGTCAAGAAAACAGTTCCTCCTTACTGTGACTGTAAAATGCTGGAGAAATAATTAAATGGGCTTTTCTTTTTTTCATCAAATGGGTTTTCCTGTTATTCATTTTATCTTTTGTTTTTCCTTACAGAGAGACAAGGAGATACTGCACTGGCTCTATTGAATTTTTTGTCTGTGTAAGAGGTTTGTTTTTTTTATTAAAGAGTAATTTTGTTTAAAATTTTGTAACTATGACAGAAAATATGACAAGATTATACTTTCTAGGCAGTAAGAGCAGAAGTACATAAGTGCTACATTTGGCCGTCCACATCTTAAATGACCAGAGAGACAAAAGTAATATCGTTAAATATAACCAGAAGTTTAGAAGGCTGCTTTAGTTTAGAAAGCTGCAGTTTGGTAATACAGGGTACTGGGAGATTGTTTACTGGAAGTAGAAACACAACATGGAAAAAAGACATATTGATCTGCTTAATAACTGGTACAGAAATTCACATGAGAAACAAACAAAGGAAAAAAGCACAAGGCAGCAGGGGAAGTTTGCCTACCTTCTAGTGAAATTTCAGGAAGACAAAACAAAACAGCTACATCTTTATGAATTCACAGGCAGTAACAAATTGTTTCCAGCTCTATAATAAGAGCAATAGGAGGTGGTATGAGACACTATTTCAACAGAGTTTAGCGTTTTAGGAGGTAAAACACATGGCCAAAGGAACCGGTTCTTAATCCATATTCAGAGCTGAGAGGGGAGTTTGTGTTACTTCCTCCTCTTCAAAATCAATTTAAACTGTCAAAATAGCTTTAAATCGTCAGATTTCGATTTTAATCGCAAGAAAACCCTCTAAAGAATAAGATACAGTGGTTGCTGTAAGATTTCTGCCGAAAGAAAATTTTTAATTTGCAATGAAAAACAAAAGTTTCTCTCTTCAGAGGTCTCTCCAGCAGCAGCACACGGGATTTATCGCCTCTCCTTTAACTCAGGACGCGCGTCTGCGGCTGGAAACTCTCCCGAACGCAAGTACCTGCTCTTCTCTTCCCTCACCGAGGAAACGGGGCGATTCGGTGGCAGAAATTCCGAGGAAAATACACTTTTGTTAGTCCAAAGAAACACAAATCGAGCACACCGAAGGGCTCCCCGGCCGTGCAGCGGGGCGGGCTTAGCAACGCACCAATCACCGCGCGGCTCCTCTCTAAAAATACGAGCATCTGACCCGCGCCAGCCCAATTGTGTTCGCCTGCTCCGCGGAGGACTCCGCCGCGATGTCCGAGACCGCTCCCGCCGCCGCCCCCGATGCGCCCGCGCCCGGCGCCAAGGCCGCCGCCAAGAAGCCGAAGAAGGCGGCGGGCGGCGCCAAAGCCCGCAAGCCCGCGGGCCCCAGCGTCACCGAGCTGATCACCAAGGCCGTGTCCGCCTCCAAGGAGCGCAAGGGGCTCTCCCTCGCCGCGCTCAAGAAGGCGCTGGCCGCCGGCGGCTACGACGTGGAGAAGAACAACAGCCGCATCAAGCTGGGGCTCAAGAGCCTCGTCAGCAAGGGCACCCTGGTGCAGACCAAGGGCACCGGCGCCTCCGGCTCCTTTCGGCTCAACAAGAAGCCGGGAGAGGTGAAGGAGAAGGCTCCTAGGAAGCGAGCGGCTGCTGCCAAGCCCAAGAAGCCGGCGGCCAAGAAGCCCGCGGCTGCTGCCAAGAAGCCCAAGAAGGCGGCGGCAGTGAAGAAGAGTCCCAAGAAAGCCAAGAAGCCGGCGGCCGCAGCCACCAAGAAGGCGGCCAAGAGTCCTAAGAAGGCCGCGAAGGCCGGTCGCCCCAAGAAGGCTGCCAAGAGCCCGGCCAAGGCAAAGGCGGTGAAGCCCAAGGCTGCCAAGCCCAAGGCGACCAAACCCAAAGCAGCCAAGGCGAAGAAGACGGCAGCCAAGAAGAAGTAAGTTATCCCAGAAGAGTCCTGCTCTACATATTTTGATATCCAACGGCTCTTTTAAGAGCCACCCACACTTTCCCTAAAGGAGCTGAGCCACCGAGGTCGTCAGAAACCTGCACGGATCCAGCAATTCGTAAGTCGTCAGAGGTCAATTGCCTTTTCCCCTCCGATTACCGAAACCTAACGAGCACGGTTTAACGCGGCGGCTTTAGGGAAGTGTAGACTTTGTATCTTTTGCCGAGTAATTGGTTTGACTACCGTGAAGAAATGTTTTATAATGATTTGATAAAAATCGGGTGACACTTTTTTAAGAATATATTTTGTAACAAAAGTAATGGATTTCCCAGGCGCAAGCTACTACTGAGCCACGTCTAATGTATTGTGTTGGTCCTCTTTAAGGTGTCTCCTTAAATGCTTTTGTGTATTAGGGGAAGACGGGAGATTTTTCTTACTGACGCGATAACAGCCCCGAGCTCTCCCATCTCTTTTGTTCCCGCTGAGACATAACAGCAGCTTCTGCTGTTGGAAAAGCCCGCCCTGGCCGAGGATTGGCCACGAGGAGCCCGGCCCGCTGCCCCTTCCCCCACCCACCGCAGACCCCGCCTTGGGCCCGACGCTTTTGGCCCCGTCGAAGAAAGGAACAGGCGTGGGGGAGAAAGGAGGGGAGGGGGCGGGCGGTGACGGGGCCCCCGGAACGCATTGGTTTCCTTTAGTGCGATATACAAACTGAAAGCGTAACGGCGCGTCTCGGGAGAAATTCCTCTGGGAGAACACTTCGGCACGACTTTGTTAACGGAAGCATGGAAAGCGTTGCTATTATTACCCAACAAATAATACTGATAATAAACATAAAAAAAATAATAACCAGTACGGCTCGAGTAATTCATACACCTGCACAACTGTATTGTGGATTTCCGAGCTCTCCTGCGATGCTGTGGGTGGCTCTGAAAAGAGCCTTTGGATTATTCTCTCCATACCGTGCTGCCTCTGCGGTGCTCACTTGGCCTTAGCCTTGTGGCTGTCGGTCTTCTTGGGCAGCAGCACGGCCTGGATGTTGGGCAGC